ATGCTTCCTGCATCGTGCAGAAATTACACGCGCACTGGTGGGCACCAGTGCCTAACAGAGCCCTTTGCTGTAGAGGTCCTGTCTACTACTCCGCATCAGATGCATCAGAAATGCATAGCACTAAGTAACATCAACGACCAACATAAGTTACGTGCCCGTATAGATTTCCACTTGGACAATGAGGATGTGAATTTTGAATCTATTGTAGTATATTGTATACGTCCCAACGCAAAAGTGCGCAGCAGTGTCCCTCCCGATTTCACATCGGCCTTGCATTTTTGCGGCAGCTGTGTGGAGGATCTGCATTCATACATAGTAAAGAAGACGGACACTCCAAGGTCGGGTACGGGTTACAGGAATTGGGGACTTCACGGACACTGACACGAGGGTAACCCTGGTGATTATGCACCCTGACTCGAGAGAGTCCCTCAAAATGAATCGATCGGCTTGAAAACAAGCCCAGTCACGGTCAGGAAGGATTCTCGTATCGTGTCATCCGCTATTGTCTTTCGAAATTTCCCCGAGTTACGTTCGGCGAAACCTTGCTCATGGGCGATTGAGGAAGACACGGCGGAAGACACGACACAAAAATCCGGCCTCAGTTTTCCAGCTTCTTTTTTTTTTTTGGGTTGCGGAGCAACCTATTGCAATCGATCGGGCTGGTTTTTTTTTTCAAGTTTGTGAAATAAAAATCAAATGTTTGTTGTGATGGAAATAAAACATTTTATGTATAATAAGGTCTCATCATGAAATGTTCCGCAACCATAAGACGATCTCGTCGCCTCTTGTTTTTTTTGTTTTTTTTTTGTTTTTTTTTTTGTTTGCAGCCACACGTTTGGCAGAGGGTGTGAGGCCTTCCTGGGAAACTTCCAAACGAACAGAGTACATGTTAGGCCTTTGGGGAATTCAGACGAGAAATCCCGCTAACACATGAGGTTTCTCCGCTAACACGAACCCCAACCATTTCTTGGCAGTTTTACCACAGCGCCACACTCCCGTAACACGGGAAGTGACTCCGCCCAATGACATTTTCACACTAACGCTAACTTGACAACACTTTTGCCCAAGGAGGCACGTTTCAACCCGTTTTTCCCGCGCGTGCGATATTTACTGTTACGAAATGGTTAGTCAAGGCATCCGAACCGCGTCCGAACAAGCCCGGACTGCCAGTCTGGACATTCGAGTGTAGTTTGGGCACGTTGCCCGGAGGCGCGTCGAGTACGTGAACGAGAAAGCTCGGGAGTTCGCGTGTGAAGAACGAAACAAAACAGGGTGAACGCACATCGCCAACCAAAAACAACACGCATCAAACACCACGTATAAAACCGCACTCATTTCTTTCGCTTTGGCGAAATATATCCTGGTTCCCATATTTTCGCGTATTTCGCCTATATCATAACTTGAGGTAGGGTGTCCGAACTTGGAAAAATTCCGTCCACAGCCCGAACCCAAAATTGGTACACCAACGTTTTGGGAGGTTCTCAGGTACACCAGACGTTGGCAAAAACTCCGTCCGGATTTCTGTTCGGACTTTTGGCCTTAGGAATGGCTGCACCACCCCCGGGTCGACATCAGGGCAATATTATTATTATTATTATATTTTTTTTTTCGTTTTTCAAGACCCAGCGGTCTCAGGATTCTTGTCACTAAAGACCCTGAAAATTCAGCATTCCATGGAAGATCTCTCTATATTTCAGGATTACTTTGACCTTTAAATCTGAAACTCAGAGGATTTTTTGGGACTCCCTACATATCAGCGGAACCTGTGGGCAGTCCGAGTACAAGCAGGAAGTACATCGATGGACGAAACGATAGAGAAGAATACAGAATACACACTTGCTGCTGCTGCTGTCCCTCACCACCACACCAAGTTCGACACTTCCCTTAATCGTGACAGAAATGCGTAAAACTAGGGGCAGTGCGCAACCTGGCTAAGGTGATATTGAGGGGTTGTGATAGGTCTGACAGCCCTGCACTTCTGTAGTTGTGAAAGTTCCACGGGTTGCACCTTCAGTTTGCGTGGAAAATTGGTCAGGGCTGCGATGGAATTGGGAGGGGGGGGAGGGGGGGGGGGGGATGGTTGCAATTCCAGCACGGGTAAGTTTCCATGCCAGTCGGATGGCCAGGATATTTTTTCGCGCAATCTGGATTGCTTAGGGGGTTCCTCGGAAACGCCTGGAATCAGTCAGGAGGTTTGTGAGCCCGAAATCCTCAAAATCAGGATTTCAGCGGGAAAGACCCGGAATGTACCTGACATTCCGGATGTTTACCCTTGAACCGAGAGCCCTGGTCGACATCTGTCGACGTGGTGTAGGTCAGCTCTCTGGTCTGGTCCTCCGCTGTACAACCGATGGTCGCATCGCATCATGATCCAGCGAGATTTTCCCACTGGCAGTGGGAAACGCGTCAGATTCCTCTGCGAGTTTGGAATCTACCGTTCCAAACCCTGGCTTTCAACCTGGATGGGTTGACAGGGGACATCGGAAATGTACCACGCCCCAGGTTCTCGTATCGGGATTCGGGAAGGAAGGGGGATGGGTGGGAGAGGGTGGAAGGCCCTTTTCGATCCTCATAGTGTACCGCGTATTACCACGTTTACATGTTTTTGTAACACACTTAACCCTTTTGCAACCCATTGAAATGATCCGGACCAGGATCGATTCCAACAAACGGACGCCATCATGACCGCGACCTAAGAAAAACCCTAGCCCACTGTTTGCAAGGACAGTTTTGCGACTTAGTATTTTGATGGAATGTTTGCGACCTCATATTTTGGTGGTGGACTGCACAACAGTCGAGCTGGACTCGAGCTGATGCCAATACTGTGCCTCAAAATGTCACGTGAGCCAGTCGATGAGATCTTCCTGTGCTCTACCACTGGAGAGCTGTTGAACCCGAGAGCAGTGTTCTGCTCTATCCCGGAGCTCCTCCCAATTAAGGGATCTCTTTCCCAGTTCCCACTGTGACTCGAAGTCAATCATCTGCAGTCAATCGGCTACTAGGAGTCCCGATGGCTTTTACTGACTAGCAGTGTGTGGTTAATGCGGTGGCTAATCTTCAAGATTACAAGTTGTGGTTGACCCCTCGGAACAAATTACTAGAAACGATTGAGGTTTATGTCAAGTCTGAGACCCAGAAAGGAGATGTCCGCCAGGTCTACTAAGCAGAGGAAAAGGCGAGTGACTGGAGCGCTTTGGAAGCCGGAGGTAATGTACAACCTTCGCTATTGTGAAATAAACTCGACATTAGTTCTGATGCAATATCATTGCGAGACTCTGAGTTTCGGAGTTGTTTTGAACATTGTCATGGCTCTGGTGTTATTTTCTTTGGCGTGAGCAGGAAGACAAGATCTTACTGGCCCACGTGGCAAAGCACGGCACACACCATTGGGGACTTGTCAAATCCATGGGTCTGCTACCCACACGAGATCACAAGGCGTGCTGTAACCGCTATGTTCTGCTCAAAAGGTGATTTCCACTCAGTACTTTCCTGCTTTTTTGTGTGAGTTGGATTGCCGCTGAAGCCGTTTTTTAGAAGTGTTGCCTGATCCGTCGTAGAGTTCAGTAAGTCATCATGCCATTGCTTCACACCTCCTCCCATGTCCCATTGCCATGCCTTTTAATGCGAGAGGAGACTCCATAATTTTCATGACGGTAACAGGAACGGAATGCATCCTTTTCCATCTACATGCACCCACTATCTCACGTCTTTGATGGGTACCGTTTCCTCACAATGGGTCCGGCGGAGGTTCCCCTCACAGTGCTATGACGCCTTACCCCACATCTCTATGTTACTTGTTGGTCCTAATGTCCGCAGGATGCTGTCCAAGCAGGGTCAGCCAACACCAGACATGGACATGGATGCAAAAGTGGAGATATCTGCCGTGCCAACGGTGGCTGGCGATGATGGCTTGACACGAGACACGGCGATGGCTGTGAAATCGGGGATGGCTGCCGTCCCAACTACGCCTGCGAATGCGGCTGCTGCACCAGCTATTCCCCCGACGGCTGGGATGGCTGCTACGCCTAGAATACCTGTGAATGCTGGAATGGGGACGCCGACAACAATGCAGCAGGCTCTAGATGACACGTCATGCTGTCATCAGCAGCTCTCATGCTGTCATCAGCAGCTCTCATGCTGTCATCAGCAGCACACATGCTGTCAACACGCCTGCTGTCATCAGCAGCACACGTTGTGTCATCAGCAGCACACATCCTGTCACCAGCAGCCCACAGCGTGCCATCCGCAGCATGGATCATGTCACCAGCAGCACACATCATGTCACCAGCAACACACATCCTGTCATCAGCAGGAGCACATCTCATGTCATCAGTACCACACATCGTGTCAGCATCAGCACACGTCAAACCATCAACAAAGTAACACGGAAACAACGATGGCAGAGAGGGGCTCTATGATTCTGGGGGAGCATAACTCAACACCAGCTGCAGAAAGAGAGGGCTTGTGCAAGGGAGCTTCTGGAGAGCGACTTCCATCTGCTACACTTGAACTTCAAACTGAAGCAGCAATGACAGTAATGAGCCAAGCCAATCTGAAGGATGAAGCAGCAGAAGCAGCCAGTGATGAGCTGATGGTTGGAATTACAAGCCCAGCAGCCATGTCCTTACACTCTCTATGTTCGTTCGAGCACTTACTCATTCCAATAGCACCTTCTCAACCCTCTCAACCACTTCTCCATGCCCCATCAGAGTCATCAGCCTCGCAACCATTCATCGCGCCTCTTCCTTCCCCTCTTCGTCCTGCTCTTCCTCTTACTCTCCCTCCTATTCGTCCCCCTACTCTCGATCTTCCTCCTACTCGCCATCCCACTCCTCCTCCTACCTCCACTCGTACTCTCCCGCCTCCACTCTCCCTTCCTCATGGGGAAGTGGATCACCGAACCTCATTTCTGGTCGCAGCACCTTCGCAGGAATTGAAGGGTGTTGAAACCTCATGCTTGGCCGACTCCCATATGCAGGACCTGAGGGAGATTGAAGCCTTCTTCTTGGGTGCCCTACCTGAGCAGATGAATTTGCAGATGCCGCAGCAGATGCCTCAGCAAGAGAACTCTGCGGAGGGAATCAATGCCTGCTGCAATTTGCCAGTGGTAGCGGATCAGAGGCCACTTTTCTGCCATGCAGCACAGGGTGCAGTCTCTGCTGACACCAGCCATAGACATCAGCACTTACCTGCTGGGGATGTTGCTGCTCACGCACCTCCTCCTCCCTCTGCTGATGCGGCTCGCTTTCCTTCTGCTCCTTTTGCGTGTTCTCCTCCCCCCACTGCTCCTTCTTCCTCTGACCCTTCCCCCTCTGCCCCTTGCCCCACTGGTCCTTCCCCCGCTGATCCTTCCCCCTCTGCTCCTTGCCCCACGGTGCCTTCTGCCGCTGCAGCTCTACTCGCCTTTGCTGATTTGCTCTCCGCAGCTTCGGTATCCCCTGGTCTACCTGCCTCGCGCTATGCTGCCTTGGCTGCAGTGGCTCCAAGAGTCATTTCTGATTGGCCAGCAGCTGTAGATGCCGTCGCCTCAACTGCTGCTGTCGATGACGCTCAACTGCTGCTGCTGTCGACATTGCTCCTTATTCAGGCGGAGCTGGTCAGAATCAACGATGCCCTGCTGCTGCTAGCTCCTATGCCTCCAACATCAGCAACTGCCGTTCAGGTTGCCTCAGCGCCGTCTTGCCTCCACCCAGCAAACACAGTGTGCTCCTCCGCCCCTCTCTCCATCCCTCTCTCCGCCCCTCTCTCCGCCCCTCTCTCCGTCCCTCTTTCAGCCTCACAACCATTGTGGTCCAGAACACTGCTCCTTCCTATTCCACCATCACCACTGCCACCTGCTGCTCCTCCCCCTGCTGGTGCTCCTCCCGATGCTACTCCTGATACTGGTTCGCTGTTGCCCAGGCCATCTAGCTCTGCTGCTGTTGGTGCAGCAGAGATGCGGCTGAAGCCAGATGAGCTGTTTGAAGCGTGGTGCAATGGGTCCTTTTCCAGGGTGAGTAATGGTAGATGGCATGTCATGGCATGGCATGGCATGGCATGGGATGGGATGGGATGGGATTGTCTTGTCCGGCATATCTTCTGGACCCTCCAATGTGGTTATCAGCCCAATAGTGCTGTTTGAAGTGCAGCGCAGTGGGTCGTTCTCCAAGGAGGACTATGATAGATGGCATGGCATGATACTGCATGGTAGGGCAGATACTCCATTGCGCTTCTGACCAGATGAGCTGTTTGAAGCGTGGTGCAATGGTCGTTCTCCAGGGGGTGACTGCATGGCATGACATGGCACGCATCGGGATGTTATGGCATGGCTTGGTATCCAGTCGTATACGATCCAGCTGACCTGTTTATTGCTACGTTTGCTGTATATTGGAACATGTTGCAGGGTAGTGCTTGATAGTTTTCCATGGCGGCATTCTTGTTTGGCTGTGCATGGCAGGTTCTCCACAGCTTCTAACCTAAGCTTTGAAGCTCCATCCTTTCATGTACAACAAGGTGGTGGTTTCTGGTGGTTTTCTTCTACACCTTGTATCAAAATCACCTTGGAAAAGGTTATGTGGTCCTGTTGTGCAGCTGAATTGCATGGTTTGTGCCTCGGCTCAGTTTAGCTCATTCTGAGCCAGGGCGACCGTGTATCATGGTGCCTAGCCGGCCCCGCTGGCCATTCCAAGAATCTTCTAGGGCGACTCCAGTGGGTCTCTCGATATAAGTGTTCAAATTATATTTTACATAATTGTAGGCTTGGTAGTTGTGCTACTGCATCCTACTGTAGAGGGGATAACTCCCCTTCTTGTACCTGATTCTCTTCTAGTTCAATATCTCTTCTCTCTCGTCAATCTTCCTAGCTAAACTTCGGCCGCCATTCCATGGCGGCCTTCTCCTTTCTTGCTATCCTACCTTCACGACATGGTACCAGAGTAGGAGGTCCTCCCTGCTGGACCGCCTACTCACGCTTCTCGCGCTGCCATGGCGCCCGTGTCGTGCCGCTAGCCGCGTCGTGCCACAGCCATCTCGACGCGCTACCGTGGCGTCGCGCTGTCGGGCCATCGCTTCCGCTGCGTACTTCCCTGTTTGCCGCCGTCGCGGCCTTCCTGGTGCCTGCCGCCGTGGCATCTTTTCCAAGTTGCCGCGGCGGCCTTTGTGTGGTGTCGTCGGCCTGCTTCCGTCACGCATCACCTGGTGCGGCCGTCACAGCACGCAGCCGTGGCGACGCCGTCGATGTCAGGCCGTGGCGACGTGACGGCGCCGTCGTGCTGACGTCGCGGCGTCGATGTCCCGCTGCAGTGCCGACGCCCCTCTTTGACGGCGCCGTCGGGCTGCAGCCGACCGTGCGACGCCGGTGACGCTGCCGCCGCCCACACGCCGCCATCCGCCCCTCCTCCCCGCCCCACCCCTTCTCCTTGCATCTCCTCTTCCTCCTCCCGCAGCTGCTGTCTTCGGCTCGGTCGTCGCCAGCCCGTGCCACACCGCCGAGAGCCCTCAGCCGCCGCAGTCGCCGCCTGTCCTCCTCGACGCAGCCGCCTTGAGCACGAGCTCCGCCGCTGTCGTCATTGAGGCCGCCCAGATACGGCCAGCTGCCTCTCGTCCGGGGGTGTCATCACCTAGCACGAGGGGTCGATACCCGGCTGCTCACGAGAATGAGGGTGTCCGAGGTTGGGGGGTGTGTGTGTGGGTTGAGTGGGCTTGCCACTACCAAGCCTAGGGGGTGTGTTCAAATTATATTTTACATGATTGTAGGCTTGGTAGTTGTGCTACTGCATCCTACTGTAGAGGGGATAACTCCCCTTCTTGTACCTGATTCTCTTCTAGTTCAATATCTCTTCTCTCTCGTCAATCTTCCTCGCTAAACTTTGGCCGCCATTCCATGGCGGCCTTCTCCTTTCTTGCTATCCTACCTTCACGACAATAAGCACCCTAGTATTACAGGGTGTTACACACTTTTACCATTTTCACACATGGATTTTTTTGGGAAAGTATAGGACATGTCTGTCAAACATATCTGTGTATGTTGTTATAGACTATATAGGGTTGTGCCTTAGGGAGTACAACACTCTAGGTTATATTCCCTTGTATGTCATTGTTCTAGTCATTTGTTCATTCTGATATGGTATCATGAGTAGGTTAGGTCCCCCCCGCCCACCAGCACTTCCGCCCTAGGTCCTAGCTGCCCCAGTCCCCTCCAGCACATGCTGGCCCGTCTCCTAGCCAGCCCCGTCGCCTAGCTGGCCCCGTACCCCAGCCGGCCCCGCCTCCTAGCCGGCCCCGCTGCCTAGCCGGCCCCGCTGCCTAGCCGGCCCCGTCGCCTGGCAGGCTCCGTCGCTAGTTGGCCCCGTCGCCTCGTCGGCCTCGTAGCCCCGCTGGCCCTGCCCCCTAGCCGGCCCTGCCTCCTAGCCGGCCCCGCTGCCTAGCCGGCCCCGTCATCTAGCCAGCTCTGTCACCTCGCTGGCCTTGTAGGCCCGCCGGCCCTGCCTCCTAGCCGGCCCCGCCTCCTACCCGACCCCGTCGCCTCGTCGGCCCCGTCGCCCAGCCGGCCCCGTCGCCCAGCTGGCCCCGTCGCCTAGCTGGCCCCGTCGCCCTGCTGGCCCCGTCACCTAGCTGGCCCCGTCGCCCGACCGGCCCCGTCCCCTAGCTGCCCCCGTCGCCTAGCCAGCCCTGGTGCACAGCCGGCCCCGTCGCCTAGCCGGCCCCGTCGCCTCCCCACCTAGCCGGCCCCGACGCCTCGCCGCCCGCAGCCCCGTCTCCTAGCCGCCCCGCCGCCGTCATCGGCCACCTGCACCGCACTGCACCGCCCGGTACCGCACGGCAACCCGCTGCACCGCCCTGTACCGCTATGCACCGCTCGGCACTGCACCCCACCGTACTGCACCTCCGTCTACTGCCTTTCTGCTGCTGCAGCAACCATGATGGCGTACTCGGTCCTGCATTTTGATGTGGAGGGGCAGCCGGTTGAGTTTGACTCGTGGCTCGTCGTCCTCCGCCGCCACCTGACTGGTCAGCGGAAGGATGGCCACTCCCTGGCCGTCCACATCGACGGTACGCTCCATTGCCCGGACCCCCCTGCTGCTCTACCCGCTGACCCCACGTCTGCTGACCGTGAGTCCGCTGCCGCTGCTGCTCTTGCCCGTGCTTTCTAGTTGTCGCGTGACGCTGTCGCACAGCTTGCAATTAGTCGTGCCCTCCCCCTGTTAGAGCGCCATCGCTTTAGGTCGGTCAGGTTTGCGCAGGAGTTCCTAGAGGCTGTTGTCGTGCGCTATTCCACCCCGCCCTCTGCCTCTGTCGGTCGCCTGATCCTGCCCATGGTCTTTCCTGGTCTCGCGTCTTTCCCTACTGTCGCTGACCTGGCTGCCTACTTGCGCACGCTAGACACGACCTGGCGCGCTGCCTGCACTGAGGCCCAGCTTCGTGTGTTTCAGCCCCCCATCTACTCTACCCTCTACCTGCTTGCCACCCGCCTCCCTGACCGCCTTGCCACCGCCCGCGATCACTTCCTTAGTCTCCACCCCGCTGACCTCACCCTCACTGACTTTGTTGACACCCTGTCTGCCGTAGAGACTCGTCAGCACTCTATCGCCCAGTCTAGCGGTACCGTGCCGATCTCTAACTTTCAGGGCAGTGCCCCTGCTCAGTGCTCTTACATTGACGGTTCTATTGCAGTGGCTGAGACAACTCATGCTGAGGAGACAACCGCCGCAGTGCAGTTTCGTCTGGGTAAGGGTCGCTGCCCCAAGGCTGGGCGCGGCGGAGGTAGCGGAGGAGGGGGTGGTGCCGGTGGTGGAGGTGGCTCGCCCGCTGGTAGTACTACCGAGGGGGCTGGGGCTGGTGCCTCGGAGCAGCAGCCCTAGCAGCAGCACCAGCAGGCGCCGTCGCTCGTCCAGCAGCAGTAGTAGCCGCAGCACCCGCAGCCGCAGCGGCGGGTTGGTTGTCTCCCGCCTAGGTGGCCTGGCGCCGGCAGTGACGGTGGTCGCAGTGGTTGTGCGCACGGCGAGTCGTCGAGTGGTGATCAGAGTGACGGGCACTGCCAGTACCAGCTACAGACCGGTCCTCACCGCGGCCTCGTGTGCGGTAAGATCGGCCATACCCCCACTCGTTGCTTCCGTCGCCTAGATGACCTGTTTCGTTTCCGCTTCGGCCCATCGCCAGACCTCCCCGACTGGCACAGTCTTCTCTGTCATAATGTTTGGATCTTTGATATAGACATGGATGAGATTAGCTCTGCTGTATGCCGTTCACTCTAGTGTGATTGGTTCCTATTCCCCTGTGTTGCCTAAATTAGGTGTGCCCAGTATGCCTAGTTCAGGCTCCCCTGCTGCGTCAGTCGTAGGATCCCCTGCCTTGTTTAGCCTTGGGTCCTCCCTCGCTCCTCCGACCCCAGTCGCCGCTGCTGCGCTCTCCCTTACTCTGGACTCCGGTGTTTCCCGGTGTTTCTTTCGGGACTCCACTACGCTTACGCCGCTTGCCGCCCCCGCCGCAGTTGCTCCTGCAGACCCTTCCTCCGGTCCTGTTGTTGCCCGTAGCTCCACCACCCTCTCCAGTCCAGCGGTTCCCTCAGGCTCCCATACAGGCCTGCACATCCCCTCGTTCTCTAGGAACCTAGTTGCTGTCGGCTGCCTCCAGGACCTTGGCGTCACCACTACGTTTCCTGGGCACGAGCGGTATGCTGTCTGTACCGAGGCCGCCACTAGTGCCCCCCTCCCCACGTTCCCCCGGGAGCCGGTGTCTGGCCTGTTCACGCTGGACACCGCGTCCCCCCCAGTTGGGATGCCTCCCCAGGTAGCAGTGTCTACCCAGATTGCCGCGGCTTGCTCGTGTCGGTCGCTTACTCACCCGTCGCTTTTGTGGCACCACCGACTAGGACACCCCGCTCTCACTCGTCTCCGTCACATGTCCCAGCACGGTCTTGTTCTAGGTCTCCCTGAGTCGTTCCCTGCGCTCCCCTCCTCACCCGCGCCTTCGTGCACACCCTGCGTCGAGGGCCGACTCCGCCTTGCCCCTCACTCCTCCTCGTTCCCCCCCACCGCCGCACCGCTGCAGACCCTGCACATGGACGTCTGGGGCCCCGCTCCTGTCCATGGGCCGTGTCGCGAGCGCTACTACCTAGTGCTTGTCGACGACTACACACGCTACACCACCATGTTTCCCTTGGAGCAGAAGGCCGACGTGCCTGGCGTTCTTATCCCGTGGCTTGTCTCTGTGCGTGTTCACCGAGGTCTCCTTGTGTTGCGTCTTCACTCCGACCGTGGTGGCGAGTTCGCCTCTAGTTGCCTTGGTCGCTTCTGTCGTACGGAGGGCATCACCAAGACGTTCACCCTGCCGGAATCCCCGCAACGGAATGGGGTTGCTGAGTGACGCATCGGTTTGGTCATGGAGGTGGCTCGTACCTCCATGATCTATGCCGGTGCACCCCATTTTCTGTGGCCATTTGCCGTTCGCTACGCCGCCCACCAGCTTAACCTGTGGCCGCACCCTCAGCGGCTGCACGTTTCGTCGACCCTCCTCTAGACCGGATCTCCTGGTGACGCGTCTGCGTTCCACGTCTGGGGCTGCCTTGCTCACGTTCATGTCTCTGGCACGGACAAGCTCACTGCCCGCACTGTCCCCTGTGTCTTCCTAGGTTTCCCCCTCGACTCGTGTGATTGGCACTTCTACCACCCGCCTTCTCACCGTTTCTTTCAGTCTCGCGAGGTCACTTTTGACGGGTCTGTCTCCTTCTACCACCACTTTC